TAGAAATGCAGGCTTGGGTGCTCTGGTGTCTGTCTCCTCCTCCTGCAGAGAGGAAGCGGCCCTGGCTACTTTGGGCGGCTGGAAGCCAAGCTCCTGAGGGTGGTCTCGGCTTTGCCTTTGACACCTTGTGGGGTCTTGCTCCTGCCCAGATCACCACCTTCTTTTGTAGTGGAGAGAAGGACCCAGCCTGGAGGGAGTTTGCCCATTGTGGGACCCCTAGGACATGGGATCGTAGGCTTCTAAATTTTGAGCTGAAAGGGGCCAATTCCTTCATTTTACAGGTAAGGAAACTGAGGCTGAGAGAGGTTAGATGGCTTGCTAGGAAATGGTGGGATCCAAATTTGGACCATGGGAACCCCAGTTCAGTGCCCCTAACAGAGTCATGGTGCCTGGGGGCACAGAAAGCTTGGGAAATTGTTAGCTGCTCATTGAGACCCCTTCAAACAAGCCTGGGGCTCCTGGGTGGGGACTAAGTGTAGGGGACCTCACAGGATTTAGGTCACATGAATAGTCCCAGAAGGAAACCGAGATCCACTCAGGGGATGGGATTTGCCCAAAGTCATACCCGGGATGTCTGGCACAGGGGGGTTCCGACCTAGGGCCTGACCTGGGTAGCCAAGGGAGGCAACACAGTGGAGTGCAGTGCTGGGATGGTCTCGTCAGGCTGGCTGCCCCTCACAGGGACCTGGGCAAGGGGGGGACATTCCAGCTCCAGAATTCCCAGAGTCTTGATTTCCAGGGCTTGGGGGGCACCTCAGAAAGAACCCTTGGGGTGGCTTGTCAGTTACTAGCTGTAAGCAAATCACTTCCTCTCCTGAAGCCTCAGTCTCCTTCTCTGTAAAATGGAGGTAATACCACTTGCACTGCTGACCTCAATCTCTCAGGGATGCGGAAATGGGAAAAAAGCCATTGATGTGGGAGGAGCCCCTGCCGCACCACCCTTCCTTCCCATTCCCTTTTTATCAAATGAGATTTTTGCAAAGGGCTTAGCACAATGCCTACCTACCACACAGTAATCACCTAATAAACGTTTGCTCTCTTCCCCTCCCTCAAGGTGTTAGAATGTGAGCTCCTGAGGACAGGAGTCTGGCTTGAAGTAAGCCGCTTAATAAAATATTGTTGGGGGTAGTGATAACGCCCTTGGCTGGGCAAAGCCTGGGAGAGGCTGCCCAAGAAAGGACTTGGCAGGGGAGGCTGAAAATGTCTGGAGGCTTCTTGTGCAGCTCCCTCCCTCCCCATTCTTTTGCCTGCCTCCTTTCTCCCCTCCCCTAACTCCCTTAAGCCTGTACACCTCCTCCTAGCTCCACATATCTCTAGGCTGAGGGGTCACCCTGGAGGCAGGGCTAGGATGGTCCTCAGAGGCTCCCACAATTTCCTCACAGATGTCAGAAGGGGACCATCTACCAGGGCAATGGTCTGGAAGGGAGGGTGGGGATCCTAGGGCTTGGGTAAGCTGGATGGTCCCTGAGGCAGATAGATTTCCAGGGAAAGGAAATGGGCTTTCCCAGGAAAGATCTCAGATTTCTGGGAATGCTTTCTCCCTATCCATTCCCAAGTTGGGGAAAGGGCTGCAGCACCCCCATGCAAGTGGCACTCTAGGTAGCTGGTGCAGTGTACCCACTTGGCCTGGCATCAGGAAGACCTAAATTCAAATGTGGCTTCAGACACTTACTAGCTGTGTGACCCTGGGCCAAGTCCCTTAACCTCAGTTTCCTCAACTGTGAAATGTGGGTCATAATGGCACCTACCTTCCGGAGCTGTGAGGATCAAAAAGCATTGTAAAGCATTTAGCACAGTGCCTGGAACATTGCAGGCACTTAATAAATTCTTGTTCCCTTTCTGTTTGCTTCCTCTCTGTGCCTCAGTTTCCTTATATGTAAGGTGTGTGTGCACAAAAAAAAAAAGAGCTCTGGAAAATCGAGTGAGAGGCCAGTGCCACTGGGAGCTCGGGGTTTCTCCTGGGTTCTGTTGAAACACAAAACAGGTGCTCACTGGCCCTCCAGTCTCCGGCTGCCCTCTGGGAGCCATCCTGGAACCAGAACAGGATGGTACAACCTTTCCTCATCCCGCAGACGCCTTAGGCTCCCACGCCCAGGGCCAGTCCTAGGGCGCAGCTTCTCGAGTGAGCTCAGTCCTCGACTCTCCTCCCAGCGCCCCTGAGCTGGGCCCTGGGAACTCCCGGTGCCTCAGCAGCTCCCGGGGCGCGGTTCAGGATCGTCTGGAAGGCTGCCCGTGCCCTTGGGCGAGTGGGCCGCGACAAACTGCCTGGAGGATGTCTGAGACGAGTTTCCCAGCCCACCCTGGCTGGGGGCAGGCGAACCGCCTGAAGGCTTGCGGCTCGGACCCACAGACGGGAGCCGGCAGCCCTTCAGCTAGCGGACCCAGTTCCATACATAGCCATCCACCTGGTTCCCTCCTCTTTCTCCACCCACCCAGCCTGGTGCAGAGGACAAGGCGACGGGTTTAGAGCACAGCTCTTGGCTCCGTGGCCTGTGGAATCTTGGGAAGGTTCTTTCCTTTTCTGCGCCTCAGTTTCTCCATTTGTAAAAACAAGGGGAGGAGGAGGGACAACATTGCAGCACAGAGGTCATCTGGTTCTATTCCCCTCTTTTTACAGATGAGGAAACTGAGATTTTAAGGTCGTTTTAACCTGTATCCTCGGGTCTGGGCTTAGGGCCAGAGTGGCCACTAAAATGGAAGCCTGAAGTATTTTGCTTTTTTTTTTTCCAAATGACCTCCGGTTTCCGAGCTGTTGCTCAAGTCCAGAGGGATTATCAGAAAATAAGTTTCCCAAGCCAGCTCCCAGAGGCCCCTTCACCTGAATAGGACGAAGGCGCGGCCCCCTCGGCCCCCCCTCCCCAGGAGCACGCCGCAAGGCGCCGCAATCCATTCCAGCTCCGCCATTTCTTTGTTGTGAGACCTTGGGTAAGTCCTTTCCCCTCCGTTCAGTTTCCTCCTCGGTAAAAGGAGGACTGGACCGATCACCTCTAAAGGTCCTTTCCGGCTTTAAATCTTCTGATCCCACGGGAAGGCAGCTGGTCCCTGGCGCCAGCGCTCTGTCATCCTAGGGAGTTTACTACAGGTGGCCACAAAGACTGATGCGCCCCCCCCCACTCTTTTCTCCTGCCCACGGGCCTTGTTCTCCCCAAGTCCTCGCGTCCCTGCCTCTGCTCCCCAGCCGGCGGCCATTACGAACCCGCTTCTCCCCACCCCCATCTTGCTCCTCGCCCCCTCCCGTTCCAGGGGCGCAGCCGGAGCTGTCGGAGGCGGGGGCTGGATGTGTGCTCCAGCTTCTCTCTCCCCTTCTCAAGCGGCCTCCGATTTCTGGAGGGCAGCCGCCGGTTTGCGCCCTCCAGACCTCGAGTCCTCAAACTCCAGGCTTAACGCCCATTTCATAGATTGGGAGGGGAGCGGCCTGAGGTCTCGGTCCACTGTCTTTGACCCCGGGGACAGAATTTGGGCAGTTAAGGCCCCTGTCCCATTGGCTGTCTTTGCGGAGTCGGCTTTTTGTCTTTACCGTCCAAGGCCACTGGTAAGAGGAGTGAGCTTGGCCTCTCAGGGGTAAGAGTGGCTTTTGCCTGAATTTGGAGAGACTCCCCGCCCCGCCCCAGTGATCAAGGGGAGGGCGCTACAATGATTTGAAGGGTAGTGGCGTTAATTCTGCTTGGAGAGACAGGCCTCCAGAGGCCGGTTCTCCAGGTCTGGGGGCCCGAGACCCTGAGCAGGATTCAGACGCGAGCATTGTTCCCTAGTGGGGTTGACTCTGGGTCAGACTCAGGAACTGGGTTCCGTTCTGCGGACCGGAAAAATACAGCCAACCTGAGAGGAAAGGTGTTGTGTGTGTGTGAGTGCTTCCCAAGGAATCTTGACCTCTCAGCTCCCTTCCTTCTAGAAGGGGGGCCCCCCATCCCCATCCCTCCTCTGATCAGGAGATAGAACAATAGTAAAAGCAGCTGAGAGTGAGTTTCTCGGCTCGGGGCCGCAGCCTGGGCCCCCATTCCTGGCAGGCTGGGCTCCTGCCTCGGCCACAGTCACGACCCCTTGACGTCTCTCTGCAGGCTGGGCTGGAAGGCAGCATCCTAATCCTAACCTCAGGTGTACTCTCTGATTCTCCTCTGGCTCTAGCCTCAGTTTCTACAGCTGTAGGGCGGGACCTGTGAGAAAGGGTCAGGTCAAAGACGGAAGAATTTCCTCCAGAGTCACAAATGTTCAGAGCTGGAGGGGACCTTATTTCACAGTTGAGGAAACCGAGGTGCAGAGAGAGGAAGGAACTAGTCTAAGGTCATACAACGGGTTAGTGGAAGACTCCGAGGCTCGAGCCCAGATATCCTGACTCCTAGGCTAGGGCTTCACCGCCTCCCCCCGCCCCCGCCCCCAACCCCAGTTGAGTCTCTATTTTGCCTTTGTCCCTGTTTGGGGTTGGGGCGGGCGGGGACCGGCAGGTGTGTCCTAGCTCCCAGCTCCCTTCACTCCTCAGGTTCTCAGCCCTTTCCAACCCTGTCCGGAAGCCTCCGACGCCCGATCCCGAGGAGCCAAGCTCAGGTTCCCTTGGTCCAGATGGCAGCAGATTTAAAGCCCTCGGGTCACGCCGCCGGAGATGAGACATTAGATAGAAACCAGAACCCCGGGGGCTGGGAGTGGCGTGCGCCCAGGGCCGCTTTTCTCCCTTCTCCCTACCCCCGCCCACGCGAACCTCCCACCACCACCATCGCCGCCCTTGCCCTAGCCCAGCCCAAGATCCCTAAGGCGGTTCTGGGCTGGGGGCGAGGAAAGCCAGAGGACACAGCCTCCTAACCCCACAGGAACTCAAGCATCAGGGCGCAGGATGCGGGGTGGTGGTCGTGGTCCAGCTTGTCCTGGCCAAACCTCTTCCCGCCGCGCCCCTCTCTCCCACCCTCGTCCAGTCCAGAGCACTGCCCTGGCCCCGGCACCTTCTTCTGCGCCCACCCTTAGGCGGGGTTCAGGGGCAAAGACCCCCCTCCCCCCGCCGTCACACTTACCTGGGGTGGCCCCCCACGCCGCGCCCCGGGGCTCAGTTCCAAGGTCAAGCCCCTCTTGGGGCTGGCGGAGCCCGGGCCCTGGCCCCTAGAACCTGGGCGGCGTCGGGGCCCCCAGAGCTCCCTCCACCTTCTCCTCTCCGCCTCCAGAGCGCCGGGCTGCCGGCCGCTCCTGCCCGCCTGCTTCGGCCGAGCTGCACTGTGCAGAGGCGTAGCGGAGGCACCTCCCGCCGCGCCCCCTAGTGGGCGTGGGGTGCCCCGCGAGGCCGAGCCCCCTTTGCTATCTCCCATCATTACCCACCCCCTCGGCTGCTCCAGGTGGGGTGTGTTCTGGGGATGGTCTGGACATCGGCGGACGCGGGGGCTGAGCTAGCTGTGGGGGACTTTGAGTGCTTGGCGGCCTTGCCCCTTCCCCTACAGCCAACGTCCCCCTCTCCAGGTCAGCAACACTTGGAGTAGACAGAGGTTGGGGTCTGGCCAGCGTGGGCTGACCTCTGCAAGAAGGCCAGAGCTGTGCCCCAGCCCCGGGTCGCTCATCATTTTTCCCTCAGTTCCAGCTCCTTACTCCTGAGGGGCTAGGAGACCATCCCTCCTCTTGCTCCGCGTGGGCCCTGCCTCCCAGCACCCTGGAGCTGACCCGTGTGCAGCTGTGGCGGTAATTTCTTCTGATTGGAGGGCCTCGGAGGCCGCCTGTTTACTGTTCCTGCTGAGTCTGGCAGCGTGGAGATTAATGGGGCACAATCGAGTTAGGGCCCCATGGCTGGGGCTGGGAGGAAGGAGGCAGAGGGGGAGGGGAAGCTGCCTGCTGGGTCTTCGTGAGCCTGGCCAATGGCACCAGGCACGCCCATGTCGGAGCCCCTTATCCGGGAGGAAAGCCTGGAAGAACTGGGGGGGCGGGGGAATTAGTAGGAAGCGCTATAGAGATGGAGGCCCCAAATGAGGAGTCTTCCCCCATCTTTATGATTTCTGCTTTGAACCTTGCATGTTCCCCAGGCCTGCAGGGGAAGGGGGTGCTGCTTCCTTCCTCTCCTCTCTTGGACCTGGGATAGAAGAGGAGGGAGAGTGAAGCTGTCCAGGTTTTTAAAAGCAAGCTGAGGTAAGCTCCCCAGCCAAGGCCCTCAGCCAAGGCACAGCATTAAAGAAAACTCTTTATTAGCCACCTAATGTGGGTACAACCCTGTCCCCTGTAGCTGCTCTATCAAAGGGGAAATCGAGGCAAGAGCTGGGAGCAGCAGGCCTGGGGCTTGCCTGTGGGGGTATGGTGTAAGGTAAGGCTCAAGCCTTCTGTTTTCAGGGCTGCCCTAGGCCAGCTTTTCAGACCCAGGGGGACAGAAGGTGGGTGGAGGTGGAGGGGTTGGGGGTGGGGGTGGGGAAGGCTGAGCCTGTGAGAAGGTGGGAGACTCTGGCTTTGGTATTTTTCTTAGCATCTTCAGGCTGGGAAGACCTTCTGGAAGCAACTGGCATCTCATCCTCTTCTCTAAGGAGGACCAGGCCCCAAATATAGCAGGTAGGTGTGCATGTGGATGAGCCAGGAAGGGCTGGAAGTCCCAGGAACAGAACAGAACTCAGGTGTCCTATCTCCCAGTAGGCCATTGGCCAGGCACCTGTGGCCTTGGCCTAGGAGACATCCTCTGGTCACTTGGTGTTTCTGCTCGTGTCCCTGGCCACCACCTGTAGGGCTGCTTTCTCCTAAGGATCTGTGTCCTGCTGCTGGGCAAGCCTGAAGGGCCAGATATGTGTGGAGTGAGTGGAAAGGCCTTTTAGAAGAAAGGGGGGCATACTTGGACAGGCCAAGGAAGGGTTGAACTGCCACCCACCTGTTCTCTACCTCTTCCACGGTGTCCTTCAATGGTCGGTTTCGGGTTTCGGGAAGCCCAAGGGCCACAAAGCCAGAGAGCACTGGGATGGAGCCATAAATGATGGGGGGCATCAGAGGCATCTGTTTCCCCATCAGCTTTACAAGTGGGGCCACAATGCCCCCCACTCGGGCCATGGTGCTTCCCACCCCCAGGCCAGTCTGCCTGGGGGGGTGTCCAGTTCCATAGGAACAAGGAAAGTTAATTTCAGGCAAGAACCTCCTCCACCCTGCCCAGCTCTCACATGCCCAGCACCTTTTTTCTACCATCCCAGCCTCGGTGGGCCTGAGGCATCAGCAGATTAACTGCCTGCCTTCTACTCTGATCGAACCACCAGCTCCCATCTGCTGGCTGAGGCCCAAGTTTTTACATTTAATCCTAGTTTTAAAACATCCCCTGAGAGGAATTAGGGGCCCAGCCTTATCTGTCACTGACCCCAGATGGCCTGACTCTCAGTGTTGTCTTGAGACAAAAGACAGGAGCATAAGGAGGGAAAATGAGGGTGAAAGGGGCCTGAGAGCCAGAAAGTGAGCACTCCCCACTAGGGTGGAACAGGGGAGCAGGGGCACTGAAGGTCACCCCCACTTTTGTCACTGTCCCTGAAGGCCAGTGCCCTGAATCTCTGCATTTGAGTCCAGCAGACCTCCCTGGCTTTGCATAGCATGGAACACTTTCCCAGGTCTACCCATTCCCCCGACCTCATTCCAGGAAGTGTGGCCTTGTCAGGGAAACCCCAGAGCCTGGCATCTTTGGTGTTCCTGAGAAAAGTTCCTGTCCTTTCCCCTCTCCTCTTTCTAAATGTCAGCCCTTCAGACTCTTCTCCCTCAGCTGAGAAATGGCTTCTCAGTGTTAAGAAGCCAGCCCAAGTCAGGTCCCCTCTCCCCCCATCCCCCCAAGACTGGGGCCTCACCCCAAGACTCCAGCCAGCCCCTACCTGATGGCCGTGGGGTACAGCTCCCCCGTGTAGAGGTAGATGCAGTTGAAGGAGGCAGCCAGGCAGCCTTTCCCTAACACAGCCAGTGTTGTCCGCAGGGCAGCTAGTTCTGAGAAAAGACACAGATAGGATGCTGGAGGCATGGTGGTGTGTGTGTTTGTGTGTGTGTGTGTGTGTGTTTACATAGACAGAGTCTGTGGGAAGCTTCTCAGCCCAGTCCTATAGGTCCCCTGGCTCTGCTCGGTCCCACTGGTTCCACATTGTTCAAAGCCCCAGGAAGCAGAAAATGGAGGCATGGTTATTCTTGATTTCCCAATGACAGTACTGAGCCTTGCCCAGTGTCACTTGGGGTCCCTGAATACCAGCTCTTAGGCTGTCCAGGAGCCTTCTGTGCCATCTCAGCCTTTTGCCCCTCCACGTGAGTGGGTCTTCTTTCAGGGTCAGGCCACTGTGCAGAGGTCCCAGGGCAGGGACCCATATGCCTCTGTCCTCCCTCCTGGCCAGGTCAGAGTTGAGGTTGGTGCTAAAATCCTGGGGCCAAGAGGAGGACTAGAGGAAGCACAAACAGGCCTCTGCCTTGGCTGTCGACTTTCCTCCTCCCCCCTCAGCTCCCCTCTTTCTGGCTCTCCATTCAATTTCTTCTTTTATGATCCTTGGGGTGCTTGGGGTCAGCCTGGTGGCTTTGCTGAGTAGGGACATAATAAATGTTAAGTCAGGGAGAATGGAATTATTTTTAATGAGTTAGAACCCAGTGAGGTTTACCAGGGGGGCCACAGTGTCCCCTACTTGGGTGGGGTGCAGTGCCCTGAAAAGAACCCTGGGAAATGGCCTGGGCTGTAGTCCCAGCTCTGCTCTTTATTACCTGGTTGACCTTGGGCAAGTCACCTCCCCAGGCTGGCCTTGTCTTCTAATAATAACAGTCAACATTTCTATAGAACTTTAGGGTTGGCAAAGAATTTTACATATGCCATCATATTTAATCCTTGCATCAATCCTGAGAAGTCGGTGCTATTATCTCCCATTTTACAGATGAGGTTAGGAAGGTTAAGTGATTTTCTCGGTGTTGCCCAGTTAGGAAGGTGAGATTTGAACCTAGGTCTCCCCAACTCTACAGGTTCATTGTTTTCCTTCGAGTGACCTGGGATAAATTACAAAACCTTTCTGTGTCTTAGTTTCTCTTATGTAAAATGAGGGGTACCGAGGTCCCTTCCAGCTGTACATCTACGATCCTAGTACTATTTAAGAATAACTCTTGGGAACTCAGTTTCCTTATCTGTACAAAGAAGAGGCTGGATTAGATGAGGACTAAGATGCTTTTGAACTGTCAGCCCTTTGAGTCCGACCATTTGAGCCAAAGTCCTGGCTAGCAGGAGGAGGCCAGAGTCAGGTCCCTCTGGGTGGCCATGAGCTGGGTTAGAGTGGTTTAGGTGCCCTCCTGGGTGAGGAGACAAAATCAGAAGGTGCCACCACTGGGGAATGAAGGAAATTGTTTTGGAAGGTCATAGATTGATGAATTTAGACCTGAAAGGGAGGTCGTACAGTCCAACCCCCTCATTTTACAGATGGGGAAACTGAGGCCCCAGAGGTTGTGACTTGCCTAGGGTTACAGGTATTAAGTACAGTATATACCTGTTTAGCTAGGGTTCAAATCCTTCTTACTGGCTGTGTAATGATGAACAAATCATTTCACCTTCCTCAGTTTCCTCATCTGAAAAACGGGGCTGACAATAGTGGAAGCCAAGGCTGGGAGAGGTTTTGAGTTAGTGGCTTGCTTCAGGCAGGCAGGGCAGGAGGGGGAGCTGCCCTGGGTAGGCACTCTCACCTGCAGGCACAAAGAGGTTGGCCAGGATGCCCAGTCCAGCTAGGACCAGGGTAGCCACTTGGGCTACCCTGCGCCCAGCTCGGCTCATGCCCAGGGTGGAAAGCAGTTTGGCTGGAATATCCACGATGCCAAACAGCAGCTGCAGCATGTGTACCCGGAGTCCGAAGCCCTGCAGGTCCATGGCCACTCCATAGTAAGCGAAACTGGTAGCAAACCTTTGGGAAGACAGGGGAGGAAAGGAGATGCAGGGTGTCTCCTCCCCCACTGCCCAGCCTGAGGCTTCTCTGGGATGGAAAAGTGTGAGGCCTAGGGCCCTGCATCTCCCAGGAGAGGGGATGGAATCAGGAGGGTCAGGGGGAGATGAGGGGGTGCCTCCCACCTGGGGGGATCTGGCTGCCTCTTCTCCATTTAGTCTGGAGTGAAGCTGTCCTATCCCAACGATAGCTCCCAGTTAATTATCCAGCTTTTTTTCCCCTTTTTTTCTCTTTTTTTAGTTATCCAGCTCTTGAAGGTTTACAAAGCTCTTTTCCTTCATTACTGGCTCTGGTCCTTCCTACCGCTCGGTGAGGTAGGGCCTTTAGTGTTTTCATTCTACTTATGAAGCCCAGAGAGGTTAAGGAACCTGTCCAAGGTCACACAGCTCACTAGCTTAAGTCTGGTCTTCCTAACTCTGTCAGTGCTGGGTCTCCCTATGGAGAAACCATCCCCTGGAGAGGGTCCACAAGCCATCTCACTTCCTTATTTTTCTGATAATGCACTAAAACCCATGAACAGGACAATTTTGCCTCAAACTGAATGGAGAACAGTCAGAACCCCCGAATGGTCATCAACCAGATCACCCCCTTTTTTCTCCAATGGTCCATGAGCAGCTAAGTTGACACAGCTAAGATGGAAAGAGCTCTGGACTTGGAATCAGGAAGACCTGAGTTCAAATCTTGCCTTAGATACCCAATAGCTATATTACTGTGGCCATTTGTTAATCTCTCTCAACCTCAATTTCCTCATCTACAAAATGGGATAACAATAGCACCTACCTCATAGGATTGCTGGGAGGACCAGATGAGATAATAAAGTGCTTTGCAAACTTCCAAGCGCTCTAGAAAGGCTAGTTCTTGGATTATTCCCTTTCCTAAACTCTCCTCCAGGATAAAGGGACATGCTTGTCAGTTCTTAGGTCCTTCCTATGTTCATCCCAGAAGATAAAACAGAGAAATGTGTTTGTTGGGGAGAGTGGCCAGACATCCCCTACATCGTCTAGGCTGTGCATATCTTATGTCATTTAAATGTTTTCATATCTTTGCATATCTTAAAATGGCATATAAAGGGTGCACAAGTCCCTCTGACAGGGCTCCTGCCTGAAAAGGCACCTACCAGACAGCAGCCAGGCACTTGGAGATGCGCCGAATGGTGGGTGTGTGGATCAGGTCCCAAGGGGTTCCTGGGGTCTGAGCCTGATCCAATTCTTTCCGAAGATGGGACCTCAGAGCCTAAGCAGCAATAGGAGAGAGCCAGAGGTGAAGGCTCCCTTCTTTCATAGCCCCAGGGCCCAGGGGGAAATGGGGTATGGAGGAAAGGGGGCACCTAATAGAGAGTAGACTTTCCCAGGCTCCTGGAGTTAGAACAGACAAGAGTCCTCTAAGGCAGGAGGAAGATGGAACAGGATTCCAGAAGCCAGGGCCACTGCTCCATTCATGGTCAAACACCATGACTAGTGCCAGGGCCCTGTCTCTCAGGGTCACTTATGTGTCAATTCCTCTTCTCCTTTCCATTCTCTTTTCCCTCTCCCCCCTTTCTCTTTTCCATTCTCCTCCCCCATCTCTTCCCTTCCTGGTATTCTGGGGAGCCAGGTCTCCTTGGCAACTCTTTCACCTCTATGCTGAGTGTCTCTCCTTCTGTTTTCTTCCCATTGATGCGAGCCACCCTCTTCAGCACCTGGACAGCCTGCTCTGGTCTTCCAGCCAGGGCCAGCCATCGTGCTGACTCTGCAAACCACCTGGGGATGGGGGTAGTCACGGTATCTCAGAGCCATTTCTAAACTAGCATCTTCCTCTGTACATCATCCCCACCGAGAAGCCCACTGGTCTTGGCTTGGAAAACTTCAGCGAGGGTACCCTCCACCTCCTTGGGCAGCCCACTCTATTCTGGGACAGCTCTCGGCAGTAGGAAGTTTATCCTGCCATTCTGAATCTTTCACACCCATTGCCCCCGGTTCTGTCCTCGGCCAAGGCAGAACAAACCCAATCCTTCTTCCACATGTTGTTCCATCATTTTCAGTGGTGTCTGACTCTTCACGGACCCATTTGGGGTTTTCTTGGCAAAGATACGGGAGTGGTTTGCCATTTCAACCTTTCAGATACTTGAAGAAAGCTGGCTTGTCATCCCAAGTCTTTTCTCCAGGCTAACCATCCCTAGATCCTTCAACCAATTCACATATAGCGTGATTTCGTGGCCCTCCATCCTCCCTGTCTCTTTCTAACTTATCAATGTCCTTCCCAAAATGTGGGGCTCAGAACTGAACACACTGTTCCCAATAGAGTTGGACCAGGACCTGGGACAGAGGACGTGCCATCCCCTAGTCTGGGCAGTATGGCTTCATGAATACGGGACAAGGTCCTATTAGGTTGTTTGTATACCATATTGAGGTCACTTTCCACTTAATGGCCTAGGTCTTTTTCTGGTGAGAAGCTATTTCACAATGCCAGTTCCCTTCCCCCCTTTCCTCTTGTACTGAAGAAGTTAATTTCTTGAACCTAACCGTAAGACTTTAAGTTTATCTCTATGAAATTTCATCTGATTTTCTTCCTGAAAAATTTTTTAGGGCCCTGACTTTTTCCATTCCCTCCCAGTCTTTCCTTATATATGTAAATCTGAAAAAACAAACAAACACGTTCTATTTAGAGACAGTTTGGCACAGTGGATAGAGTACAAACTTGAGTCACTTAATCTCTGTCTGCCTCAGTTTCCTCCTCTATAAAATGTAAATAATAATAGCACTTGCCTCCCAGGGTTTTTGTGAGGATCAAATGAGGTAATATTTGTAAAGCATTTTGCAAACCTTAAAGTGATGTATGTATTGGTTTTTATGATTGCTATTCTGTGTCTTTATCCAAAGGCATAATCTAGGCATCTAGGCAGCTCAGTGGATATAGTGTTGGTCCTGGAGTCAGGAAGACCTGAGTTAAAATCTGGCTTCAGACATTTAAGTGACCCTGCACAAGTCACTTAACCTCTGTTTGCTTCAATGTATCAGAGAAGGAAAGGGCAGAGCACTCCAGTATCTCAGTGTGGTCTCTGGGTCACATGAGTCAGACTGAACAACAACAACGATAATCTAAGTCGTTGATAAGAGCATTAAACAGCACAGGACAAAGCACAGATCCCCTGGGCACTCCGCTAGAGACTTTGCAAACTGACAGCAGCCCATTAGGTTCTGATTACTCTTTGTATCCAGCCATCTGTGCAGCTCTGAATTCATTTAAGGCACCATTGTTTAGCTTGCATCTTTCTGTCTTTTCTGCACAAATAACAATGGAAAATACTTTGTTAAAATCTAGGTAGACTACATTGCTTGGATACAATTGTTACTCACAGCTCCTTTTTGAAGCCGATTTCTAGGGGGAAATCCTCCTTCCTGACCCCACCACAGTGGGGCAGTAGCTCTAGACTGCCAACGTTGAGTTTATGACAATCTCATAATATGGCCCCTTACCAATCGGTATCTCCTAACGGGTCTCTCCCTAACAGAACCGTCAGGGCCAAGTTTGATTTTTTTCCTCTTTCGTTTCGCAAGTATGGGAACTCATGAACGAGGGCTGATAGTTAAAAATTTTTGCAGCTGGGTTTTAAAAATCATGATCCAACCAACCACCTCTTTTTTCAGAGGGGGAAACTGAGGCCCAGTGTGTTGAACACTGACAGTTTGTTCAGCACTGTAATCACTGTTTCTGGGGGAGAAACAGTCCCTCCCTGACCTCTGGGAGCCATCTACTCCCACACCTCCACCCCCCTCACCCTCACCTACCACAAAGAACCACAGGGAGCTGGAAAGCCCCTTCCAGACCATAGAAACCAACTCCCTAATTTTGCAGATGAGAAACTGAGACCCAGCGAGTTTCAGCAACTTGCCCAAACCCTGATTCCAAGTTTTAGCTGGGACTCCAGATAGAACCCTTTACACAAGGCTTCCATCCCAGTAGGAAACAGAAACAGGGGATGACTTGGCTCTCATTAAGTGCACTTACCAGGAGTAGCAGAAGAAGGCAAAGAAAGGCAGAGAGATTGTGAGCTGGAGCCAACGCCAGTTGGGGAGGGCATATGCAAGGCCTGGGAGGAGGATCTGCCCGAGGGTGGCAGAGTAGCTAACCAGGGTCCCTGTGATTGTGCGCGTCCGCGTCGGGGACCACTCTAGAACTAGAGAGAAGAGAACGTCACCTTTTCCCCTCTGCGCCTCAGTTTCCTTATGCATTCAAAATAAAAGTTCTCCTAAGTGATTACTAGGTTCTCTTACCTGTGACATTTTATGTTTTTTCTAAGGCCCCTTTCAGCTTCAATATATTCTAGTCTAAGGTTCTTTTTATCTCTAACATTCTCTGTTCTGCATTCTAAGAGTCTATATTCTATATTCTAAGGTCCCTTCCAACAGCAACATTCTAAGAACCCCAGTGCTGACATTCTGTGCTCTTAGGTCCCTTCCAGCTCTGTGAGGGTGTTTTCTATTCTATCATTCTAGATTCTAAGGTCTTTTTGAACTTCAGCATTCTTTGTTCTAGGTCCCTGCTAGCTCTGACAAACAGTTTTCTAAGTTCCCAGCTCTGATAGCCTATTTTTAATGTTCTAGCACTCCAAATTTTAAGGTTCCTTTCAGTGTTAATATTCTGTGTTCTAAGGGGTAGCTAGGTGGCACAGTGGATAGAGCACCGGCCCTGGATTCAGGAGGACCTGAGTTCAAATCCTGCCTCAGACACATAACACTTACTAGCTGTGTGACCCTGGGCAAGTCACTTAACCCCATTGCCTAACCAAAAAAAAAATTCTATGTTCTAAGATCCCTCCTAGCTCTGCTATTCTATGTTCTAAGGAACTTTCCAGCTTTGACATTTTGTGTTCTAGGTCCTTTCCAGTTCTGATATTTTATGTTCTGTGCATTCTCATATACCCCCCACCATCCTGGGCCCCACTCCAGTCTCTGGGATTCCTCTGCCCAGAATCCCTCTTTCCTTTTTGATTCTTACTCCTGATTCCTTCATTCACATGTCCTACTCAACCCCCCAACTTGTTCTGATGCCCTGAACAAGTTATTAGGTTTCTATCCACCTGAGATGTCATGTCCTTTCCCTTCCTCAGGACTCCTCCTTTATATCTGCCTTCCCTAAGGCCTCTCTCTGGAGGTGGCCCCTATGGCCTCTACCCAGTTCTCAGGGCAAGGAATTGCCTCCGTATTTGCTGTCATTGGCCCTAAACAAACTCTGAGACTGGGCATTGCTCATGGGCTAACTACAGCTCGTGACTGGCCTGAGGCTCCTGCCCTGGCCCCTACCACTCAACCCAGCTCTGCAAAGCTGTTTCCTGGGCTCTGGGTACAGAGGGTTAACAGGTCCCAGAGCAGAGCTGGGCCACGTGTGTTCTCTGGGCCAGAGCCAGGGCCTGGGGGGAGGGGGTGGGGAAGGCAATGAAGTTGCCTCGAGAGGGCTGGGATGAGGGAAAGGGCTTCAGGAGGGGCGAGGGGAGTGTTTACAGTAATCAGAGAACCCTCCACCCCTGCTTAAGCCTTCAGGGCACAGCTTAGCCCTGGGTGAGGGAGGGAGCCCCATGGTGCCAAAACAGAGTTTTTGCTGTTCCTGAGAATTCCAGGGAAGGGGGAGGAGGGGGAGCAGGACTCAGATTTAGGAGCCCAGGAGTCCTGGATTCAAAGGGGGTGGGCAAGGAGGTACGTGAGGAATGAGGGGAGTGAGGCTGCAGGGAGAGGGGAGGGAATGGTGGAGGAGCAGCTATAGGATATTGCCAAGCACAGATTGGGAAGAAGGGAGCAAAAAATGAGGCTGGGTTTAACTGGAGAGATTTTGATGTGGGGGTGAACCCTGGGATTAAGGGGGAGTGGGCCTGAGCTCCTAATCAAATAAAAATTAGCTCCTAGTTCCCTCAATCAATATTAATTGAACCCATAGGCCCATAGAATTTAGAACTGGAAGGGACTTTTGAACTCCTTCAGTCCCTTCATTTTACAGATGAGGAAACTGAGGCCTAGAGAGGGAGGAAAGGGAAGATAATAAGCATTTATAAAGTACCTGCTGTGTGCCAGGCATTGTGCTAAGAACTTTTTACAGATATTATCTTGTTTGATTCTCACAGCAACCCAGTGATAGAGTGGCTATTATTATCCCCTTTTACAGTTGAGGAAACTGAGGCAAATAGAGATGAAGTGGTTAAGCCCAAAGTCACGTAACTAGGATGTAGCTGAGGTGGGGCTTGAACCCAGGTTTTCTGACTCCAGTTCCAGGGCTCCTTCCATCTAAGTGGACTGCTGCCTGACCTACGTACTTCAGTGATTCATGGGTCTGTGGTTTGGTGGGTGTGGATTCTCCCTCCACTGACACAAATAGCAACCTCTTTCTGACTTAAGAGATGGTCTTTGAGAGCGGTGGCACCATCCTGCTGAAGAACCTCTCTGAACTCCCCTAGGTCCTTGGTCAACAGACTCACAGTCCATTGGTTGTCAGGCCTGGCCAGTTGGTTAAGTCCTGCTGGAGGCAGGAAAGAGACCTGGCTCTGTACTCAGAGGACCTGGGTTCAAATGCTGTCTCTGCTACTTATACTACACAACCTTGATCAAATCGCCTCATCTTGTGTCTCAGTTTCTTCATCTGTAAAATAAAGGAGTTGGGTTAGATGGTCTTCGAGGCTCCTCCCAGACCTATAGCTATGATCCTATAATGCCTTTCCTTCAAATTTGCAGGAACAGAGGAAGACATTGAGCCCCAGAGGAACAGGGATTTGCCCCAAATCACCCCAGTGGAGGTGTCTGACTCTCAGTCTTGAGTCCAGACCTGCTGCCCTGGCCCTCTGCATGGTCTGCCTGCCTCAAGCGCTCCCCCACTCCAGGGCATATTTTGCCCAGTAGCCAAAGTGACCCTCCTAAAGCCCAGTTCTGACCATGTCACCCCACCCCCACTTCCCATCAGTAAACATCAATGCCTGCTATTATCTCCAGGATTCAATACAGTCTTCTGTTTAGTTTGGAAAACCTTCCAGTGCCTGGTCCCTTCCTACCTCTCTGGCCTTCTTCCACCTTAGTTCCCTCCACATACCCTATAATCTAGTGACCCTTGCACCCAGCTCACCAGGCTGTCCCCCATGTCTGGAGCATTCTCTGCCTCCCCTCTGCCTCCTGGCCTCCTTGCCTTCCTTCAAGGCTTGGCCCAATGTGCCCCTTCTGCCAAAGGTCTTTCTTCCAGCTCTCTTTGTTCTGAGATGGCCTTCTACCTAATTGGCATAAATCTCGTCGGTTCGTAGTTGTTTGTCTGATGGCTGTCCTATTAAACTGCGAGCTCTTGAAGCCAGTGACCCTACTTTGGCCTTTCTTTGCACCCCCAGTATTTCGCACGGTGCCTGGCATGGAGTACATGCTCCATAAATGCTTGGTGACTGACGGTTTGGGACACTCACCCAGAGACATGCAGTTGAGGATGATCCCAGAGACGGCCATCCCAACCAGAAAGCGAAGGGCACAGTAGGTAGAGTAATTGGGGGAGAAAGCAGTGGCAGTCCCTGCCACCCCCAGCTGCAGGTAGGACCAGCTCAGTAGGGCCTTCCGACCAAACCTGGGAGGGAGCAGAGGCATGCTGGGCAAGATCAGGCTGTCCTTAAGGAAGGGGCCTGTAGTCTGGGATGGGGCTCAAGAGAGTGAGAGGGAAGCACTGAGGGACACTGGGGGTACCCTACTGAGGCTCAGGTGTATGCCCGGGTCCTGGAGGGCAACTGTGATGGGGGACTATGGGGCAGAGTCAGGGCCAGTGGTGGGGGGTGGGGGAGAGAGCATGGCCCTAAGGGACAGGTGAGGATGAAGGATCAGGGTTAAGAAGGCAGAGCCAAAATGTTGGGGAGGCGGGGTGGAGAATTTGAATTCACCCAGGGCTTCAATTTGGGGTTTTGGATCCTGGGAGTCTTGGCCAGAGGTGCAGGATGGGGGCCTGGAGTCAGCTCTGCCCTCCCCCCCACTCAGGCCAGAGTACCTGTCTGCCAAGCTCCCAAACACCATGGCTCCCACAAGTACCCCTGCCATGTAAATGGATTGTGCCATCTGGGTCAGTTTCCAGGAGTCGCAAACCAGGTCCCACTGTTTCAGAGAAAGGGGGAGAAGGGCCTGAGGTGTTAGCAGGGAGAAGCTGGGAGTTCAATATCTAGAGCCCCAAAGCCTCACACCCCTTCTCCCCTCCCTCTACAAAATTCCCTCCATCAGGAGGACCAGGAGTCATTCAGGCAAAGCCTGCAGTACACGTAATGAGGACCCACAATCTCCGAGGTGCCAGATCACCCCTCAAGCTTTTGAATTCGGTTCAGCTCTGCCAGAATGTTGGGTCCTCGCAGGCAAGGGATGTTCCACTTTTGTCTCTGCAGGGTTTAACATGGTGCCTGGTACCCAAGGGCTCACTGAGAGGTGGATTGCTTGATCTCTCTCTGAGGATTGCTTGGTGGTTACAAATAAAAGCTGGAAGGGAAGCCTTCACTGGAGTAGAAGAGCCTGGGAGGATTAGCGACTGGCCTGAGGGTGGGAGGGGTCAAGGGCAGGTGATTTAAGTGGGTGGATGGACCAAAGGAGAGGACCCAGAAGACCCTGACAGATGAGAGTGGGAGCTGGGACCGGGGAGGGGTGACTGCAGCTTTGCCCTAGATATTGGGCAGCAGGGATTCCTCTGGGACAATACTCTACCCTAAGCCTCTGTTGGTCCCACATTGTATTTGTCCCAGCCCTCCTCAGGGCCGATTTCCTGCCAAGGGCTCGGACCCCTCCTCCGCCCACACCTCCATTCTCCTAAGGGACTTGGCCAAGCAGCCTTGGCTCGAAGAGCTCCCGCAGTGGGGAGCTCACAACTTCCCCTTCCACTTGGGAACAGCTGACATGGTCAGGAAGTTCTTGACAGACATCCAGCCTCGGTTTGCCCCCGTGGTTGCCCCCATTGCCCCTGCTTCTGCCCCTGGGGCTGAGCAAAGGGAGGCTTGTCCTTCCCTGTGAAAGGCCTTTGCATTCGTGAACATATCAATCCCTTTCATCTGTGCTCACTTGGTGGGTCTTTGATGCCTTCACCAGTCCTTCCCTAAGGGCAATGCCCCAAACTGACCAGGAGGGGGCGGAAGGCTGGAGGGGCACCATCAACTTTCTGTTTCCGGATTTTCTTGGCTGCCCCATCACCTTCACTTTTAACTTCAAATCTGGTCAACCCACATCTCTTTCAAGACTACTTGTTTTTCAGCCAGACCTCCTACAGCTTGTACTAGTGAAAGTGATTTTTTGAACCTTAGGCACACAACTTTACATTTTTTCTCTAATCAAACTCGGCTCTAATTTAGAGTTGTCCCAAGGTGTCATGTCAGGACCTCTTTGAACCCTGATCGTCATTCTGTGTTAGCCACCCCTCCTGACTCTGGGTCATCAGCACATTTGACCTTGGTCATTAGTGGAATCACTGATAAAAATGTTGGACAGAGCAGACCCCTGAAGTGCTCCACTGGACATCCCCCAGCCGAGTGGCTCTCAGACTGCTAGAGGCCATTCTTCAGCCCTTTCTGAATCCCTGTGATGGTACTAATAATGAAATATCGCCTTGCCATCTTTACCAGATGCTTAAATACCATGCTAAAATCAAGCAGGGTTACTCTTAACAGCATTCTTCAACTTATCAGCTTAATAACTCTGCTAAGAAGGGAAATAAGGTTAACCTTGCATAACTTCTTCATCTAGTTTTGTCTTCTCATTTTGCAGATGACAAAAATGAGACCCAGAGAGGGGAAGGGGCTTAGCCAAGGTGACCCAGGTAGTAAAGAGAGGAGCTGAGATTTTCCATGACACGGTCATGTCTCTTCCCTGGGGCCCTGACGTGTGTCCCCCCTGCCCTGAGTTCCTCATTACCTCTGTCACAATGGTGGCCTCGAACTCGCTGTGGTCATAGGTCCATCCATCTCGGCATGGCTCAGTGTCCGGGGTGCTCCTGTTGTGAGTGGTATCATTGGGCTCTAGGCTTTGCCAGTGGGGCTGGGAGAATTGCTGGCACCTCTCAGGCTGGTGGCCTCCATCCATGGGAACCCACAGCTGGAGGAGAGTCTCAGAGGTGAGGTTGGCACCGAGGGGCATTGGCTGGAGCCGGCAGTGGTGCGGGGGCACTGCTGCTGAGAAGTTCTGCAGGAGGTTGTGGGAGGCCGTCAGGAGTATGGGAGCCACCAGTGCGATGATGTGTAGCCGCTGGAAGTGCCCCAGTCCCCCGAGCTGCTCCAGCAGGCTGGCAAAGGTCATGGTGGCTCTGGGAGCCCCCTATCCTTAGCTCTTCGAGGGTCGCCCTGGGCTGGTAGGGGAGGACTTAATCAGTGGAACAAGGCTGGTCTGGTCCCAGAGAGCCCTGGCCTTACCGTCTGATCTGTTCAGCCCCTGGAGGCCGGAAACGCCAGAGCTGTGGGGGGCCCCCCTCCTCCAGGCCAACGGGCCTCAGCTGCAGATGGGAAAAGAGGCCCAGGACATTCCCCCTCCAATCCTCTTGCCCCTCCAATTCTTGTTCCCAAGTGCTGCCCTGGTGAGACTGGAGGAGGCTTCCTATTGGGATCAGGCTTTGGCAGGGACTGGCCAGGATAGCAGGGGCCAAGAACAACCCCCTCCCTGCTCTACCCATCCCCCATCCCCACCCCATCTGTAATGACCTCTCCTGGGTTAAACTGTTATTTTGGCTCTAGGGGCTTAACCACTGGGAAGAGAAGCGGGGCATGTCTAAAGTCAGGGCAGAAGCAGCGGGCAGGTCATCCATTGGGCAAGAAGACTGATGAGTCTTAGGCTGTCCTGGGCTACCTGGCAGGACCCCTTGCCAGTCACCCCTTGGCACCTGGGCCGCTATCAGGACTTAGAAGGGCCTGCTCTTTGCCTTATTCTGGCCCTTAGCATGTGGGTCCCCCCTACCTGGGGGGTATATTAAAAACCACCTCAATCCTGAGCCCTGGGCAAGGGGCGAGAGGCGGAGTCCCAGAATCTCCAAGCTGGAGGGATCTCAGAGGCCAGAGTCCAACCTTTTCTTGAGTGGGAACCTCCTTTACCATGTCCCTGACCAGTGGTGGATCATCTGGGCTCCCCCCGCCTTTGTAGACATCCAGTGATGAGGAACTTATTGCCTCCAGAGGGGCCTGTTCCACTTTGACACAGTTCTTAATGCTTAGGAAGGTTTTACTTCTACTGAGCTCAGACCAGGCGTGGGAGGGGACTAGGAGAAGGGAGAGAAGAGGAGGACAAAGTCCTGAGGTGTGGGGGGGTGTTTCTTCCTACTTGTGTACTCCTTCCCCTGGTCTTAAAGTTCCTTTGCTGGCCTCAAGAGGGTCAAAGGGGAGAGAAGAGGCCAGATAAGGGCCAGACAGCAGCTGGAAGGGTTGAGGTCAGCTCTCAGGGAGACTTCAGCTCTGCACAGTGGCAAAGCCACGCTTGGGCTTTGGGGTGCAAGTGGGAGAGGGGCCTCTACCCACATTTGTAGCTGCTTTTGCTTCCAAATGTGGGGTTCTGTTTTCATCTTGGGGATGTTTGTGGTCCAAGAAAACCTGTCAGTTTCAGGGCCTGTTGGTAGGGGAAGCGAAGTTTGAGCTGAAGTCCTGTGGGAGCCTGCGTGGGGGGGGGGAAGGGAGGAGGGATTCTAGACTTAGCCCTTGGAGCTTTTCATTAATCAGGCTTCTGGAATGGCTTATAATACAGCACTACCTGGAGGCAGGGGGCTGGAGCAGATGAGCCCACCTCCAGAACAGAGGTTTGGATGAGACTGAGTGGACCTGTAGCTTGGAGGTGGATGGCAGCCCCCTGGTACTCCACTGATTTACTTATCATCTCTGGAGAGGAGAAGGGACAGGTTGGGAAAAGGCACCAGAGCACTGATCCAGAAGTGTGAACACAGGCAAACCTTTTAATAATGGGGCCCAGGATGGCATATGGGCATGGGGAGGGAGTGGAGCATAAGGAAAGGTCTGGGAGCTGGGGGAAGGGCAGGATTTTCCCTGTTCCAGTCTCAGGTCCCTTCAGTTTTCCTCTCTGCTCTTGGTCCGGCCCAGCCCTGCCCAGAGAAGCTTCAGGCTCCATCTGAAATAGCTCTTGTTGCTAGGAAGTGGGAAGAGGAGAGAGAAAGTGGATGGGACCCTCTGAAGACCGACTTCCTGGCCATCTTCAGACACCGTCCTTTTTCAGCGTCTGCAGGGGGATTGTCTGCTCTCCCTCTTCCTTCTGTTTCTTTTTCCCTCGACGCCTGCAACAACAGGGGAAAGGGCTCATTAGGTCCGGGATAACCTTTCTGGGATGAAGGCAGAGAATCCTAGAGGGAGCTGGGTGACCGGCCTGCCAGGTCTCTTCTGATTTAGGGAGATGGTCCTGAGGCTGGGCAAATGTGGGGAGCTTTGCTGCTTTGCTGTTCCCTGGCAACCTGGTGTCAAATTCCTGGCTATTCCATTCCTTTGCAAAAAAATAACCAGAACTCTGCCTGAGAGATGGGAGATTCCTAGAGGATTCCAGGAGAAATACAGGGATTTCTGAGACTCAGAAAATAGGAACAAGGCAGCCAATGATGAGCAGCAAGAAGAGGGGAGACGTCTGCATTTGGAAGAAGCTATGGCCTGGACATGAACGTGGGGGAGGGGAGGCTGATAGCCTTCACTCACCTGGTCTTGGGGGTGGTGGGGGGCTGACAGCCTTTGCTCACCTGACTTTCAGGTCTTCCACACTATCTGGCAAAGGCATGTTGAGTGTCTCTGGCAGAAAGAAGGTGACAGCACTACCAGCAATGGGGACAGCTCCATAGATGATAGAGGGCAATGCAGGGTAGAGCTCTCCAGTCATATTCACCAGAGGGCTAATGATGCTGCCCACCCGGGCCATCAGGCTGCCCATGCCCAGGCCTGTCTGCCTGAAATGCCAAGGGGGAGAGAGAGAGAGAGAGAGAGAGAGAGAGAGAGAGAGAGAGAGAGAGAGACAGACAGACAGACAGACAGACAGACAGACAGACAGAGAGAGAGAGACAGAGAGAGAGAGACAGAGAGAGAGAGAGACAGAGAGAGGGAGAGAGAGAGAGGGAGGAAGAGAGAGAGAGAGGAGAGAGACAGAGAGAGGAAGAGAGAGAGAGGAGAGAGAGAGAGGAGAGAGGGAGAGGGGGAGAGAGGGAGAGAGACAGAGAGAGGAAGAGAGAGAGAGAAGAGAGAGAGAAGAGAGGGAGAGGGGAGAGGGAGAGGGGAGAGAGAGAGAGGGAGAGAGAGAGACAGAGAGAGAAGAGAGAGAGAGAGAGAGGAGAGACAGAGACAGAGAGAGAGGGGAGAGGGAGAGAGAGGGGAGAGGGAGAGAGAGGGAGAGGGAAAGAGAGAGAGAGAGAAGGGAGAGGGGAGAGAAGAGAGAGAGGAGAGACAGAGACAGAGAGAGAGAGGGGAGAGGGAGAGAGAGACAGAGAGAGGAGAGAGAGAGAGACAGAGAGAGAGAGAGAAAGAGAGAGAGAAGAGAAAGAGAGAAGAGAGAGAGAGAGAGAGAAGAGAGAGAGAGGAGAGAGAGAGAGAGGGGAGAGAGAGAGGGAGAGAGAGAGAGAGAGAGAGAGAGAGAGAGAGAGAGAGAGAGAGAGAGAGAGAGAGAGAGAGAGAGAGAGAGGTTGTCAAATCTAAGCACAGAAGATTTCCTGGGGTACTGAGCAGTTGGGGTACAGTGGAAAGTGCTAGTGGCCTGGGAGGCAGCCTTGGGTTCAACCTGTCTCCTCATTCTCACTTATCTCACACACCCCCTTCTTTCCTCTGCCACCTCTCTCCCCCTGGGGTCTGCTTGCCCCACGTCTCTTCCTGCTCCAGTTTTTCTTCCAGTTATCTGACAAAGCGATTCTCTTAAATCACTGGTCTGATCATGTTGCCCCTCCCCCAACTCAATAAACTCCAAGCGCTCCCTATGGTCTCCAGGAACAAATACAAAATGCTCTGTTTGGTACTCAAAGCCCTTCCCAACCTGGCTCCCATTTACCTTTCTGGCCTTCTCACATCTACCTTATGATCCAGAGGCCCTTTGGCCTTTTAGCTTCTCCTTGAATGGGACGCTCGGTGTATTTTACCCGGCTGTCCCTCATGCTCAGAAGGCTCTCCCTCCTCACCTCTGTCTTCTGGCTTCTTCAAGATTCAGCTCCAATCCTCCCTTCTTCCTCCCCAGCCCTATTCTCCCTGCAAGGCATAAATTCCTGTTTACTCTGTCTGTACCTTCTTTGTCCACAGTTCTTTGCATATTGTTTTCCCCATTAGATGGGGAGGTAGGTTTTTTTTTTTGCAAGGCAATTGGGGTTAAGTGACTTGCCCAGGGTCACACAGCTAGTGAGTATCATGTGTCTGAGGCCGGATTTGAACTCAGATCCTCCTGACTTCAGGGCCGGTGCTCTATCCACTGGGCCACTTAGGTGCCCGGGGAGGTAGTTTTGGAAGGGAGGACACAGGAGGCAGCTTGGGTGATTAGGAAAGACTTCAGGGGGCAGGGTTGTTGGAACTCAGTTTTGAAGGAACCCAGAGGTTCCAAGTGCCAGAAGAGAGAAGGGAGATTCTAGGCACGGGGACATGCGATAGAGTGAGGAAGCAGGCCAGGACGGCTGCACCATCCCGTGGCGTGGAGGGCAGTGATGTGGGCCAAGGCTGGAAAGATAGGAAGGTTCTAAGGCAAGAAGACCTTTACCCAGCAGGGGATATTCTGTTTGACAGTAGAAACAAGAGGGAGCCGTGGGAGTTAAAGTAGTATGGGGTCACACGGCCAATCCTTCAGTCCAGGGAAGTCCCTTTGGCAGCTGCGTGGAGGATGGCCTAGAGTAGGGAGAGGTTTGAGGCAGGGAGGCCAGTTAGGAGGCTGTTCCAATAGCTGGGTGAGATGTGGTGAGGGGCTGAGCCAGGGTGGCAGCTGACTGAGTGGAGAGAAGGGGACAGATAGGGGAGGTGCGATGGGGTTAGAAGCCATGTGATTTGACAGCTGGTTGGGGTGAGTGGGTAGAGAGAGTGAGGAGCTGGGGGTGAGGTGAGGTTACAAACTTGGGGGACTGGAGGGATGGTGCTGCTTCACCATCCTCCACTTGATCCTAATGGTAACAGGGAAGCTTGAAAGAAGGGAGGGTTTGGGGACAAAAATGACAAGTTTGGTTTTGGACATGTTGAATTTTTTTTTTTTTAGGCAATTGGGGTTAAGTGACTTGCTGAGGGTCACACGGCTAGTAAGTGTTATGTGTCTGAGGTTGGATTTGAACTCGGTCCTCCTGAATCCAGGGCTGGTGCTTTGTCCACTCCGCCACCTAGCTGCCCCCAACACGTTGAATTGGAGATGCTTGCGGGACACTCAGTTGTAAAATGTCTAGCAGGCTGATGGCGAGCCAGACTGAGACTCAGGGCCTGGGTATATAGATCCCGGAGTCATCTGAATAAGGAAGATCATGGAAGCCATGGGAGCATGAAGTTAATGAACATTTGTTGACTCGATGACCTTCTCTGGGTCTGGTCACCACCCTCAAAGGGCAATAGGAGAGTTACCATTCACTGGTCCTTCCCGGGCTGGGAGGGACACGAGGTACCAGAGTGTTTGGACATTGCTCTGGGAACTGATTGACTGGCTGGAGGATGGGTTCTGTCTCCGCCTTCTCCCCTTCTCCCCAGCTCCAGGACTCTCTCCTCGATGGACTTTTGCTACTCACCGAATCACCGTGGGATAGAGCTCCCCAGTGTAGAGGAAAGCGGAGTTGAAGGAGGCAGCCAGACAGCCCTTCCCCAGGACTGCCAGGGAAGTCCTTATGATCCCCCAGTCTGGGAGGAAGAAGGAGCACAGTGGAGGGACACAGTGAGGGCTAAGGGGAGGGTTAGAGACCCTCTCTGGCCCCACCAGCTTTAGACCAGGAGCCCTGGGCCATGGGGGAGAAAGGGCCCAGGGCCCCTTTTCTTTCCCACCACCTCACCTTTTGGCAGTAAAGTATTGACCAAGATGGATGTGCCGGCCAGCAGCAGGGAGGCCATTTGTGCGGGGCGTCGGCCAAGGTAGTTAATGATTAGAAAGACTATGAGTTTGGCTGGTAAGTCCACTGCCCCAAAGATCACTTGGGTCAGGTAGATGTTGGTTCCAAAATACTGCAGGTCCATGACCAGCCCATAGTAGGCAAAGCTGGTGGCAAACCTGGGAGACACGGGGAATTGGTTATGGCATGCAGATCATGGATTGAGAGCTGAGAGGGACCTGAGTGGTCCTCTACTCCATCGCCTCATCTTACAGGTGAGGAAACTGAGGCTCAGAGAACAAGGTAAATGGGGAAAGGGTCAGAGGTTAAGGGGGGAAAAGAAAGTGGATAGGATGGAAAGGGTTCCATGCAGGAAATGGGGCTGTGGGGAGGTAATGACCCCAGCCCATTCCCAGAATGGTCGGAGAGAGGAATAAATTCAACCACAGAGGCAGGTAGGTGACAAAGTAGAGATAGAGCTGGGTCTGGAGTCAGGAAGACCTGAGTTCAGATCCAGCCTCGGACACTTACTGGACAAGACACTTAACCTTTGTCAGCCTCAGTTTCTTCATCTGTAAAATGAGAATAACGACAACACCTCCCTGCCAGGGTTGTTGAGAGGATTAAGCCAGAGAATATTTGTGAAGCACATAGCCTCATGCCTGGCACAGAGTGGATGCTTAATAAATGCTTGTTTTCTTCCGTGGCCCCCATTCTCTACCCTGTAGGGCTAAGTGCTAGAGTGGAGGTTTTTTGGGCATGGTGGAGAACAGAATCAGAGCATGTTAGCGAAGAATGGGCAGCTAGGTGGTGGTGCAAGTCACGAAGAGCTGAATTCAAATTCTGCTTCAGGTAGAGAGTTTTGGATGAATTACACTTATCCTCTCTGACCTTCCATATCCTCATTTGTAAAATGAGACAGTTGGACTTGATCTCAGCTAAAATTCCTCCCATGTCTAATTCTGTGAGCTTCCTTAGGGTAAGAGGCCCTTAGGAACTCGCTTTGTCTCGGATTCCCTCATTTTCCAGGAGAAGAAAGTGAGGCCCAGGGCACAGACTTGCCTCCTCCATTTGGTGCTTCTCAGCTTTGGGGCCGGGACTGAGCTGGGGAGGGAGGTGGCCTCCAAGCCTTCACTAGCAACTTCAGCAGCCCAGTCAAGTCAAGTCTTGGGGAACAGATGGCCGTTGCCGGGAAGCAGGGAGGCAATCGGTCCAGGGAGGAACTGACACAGGGTGTGGCTGCAGCACGCTGCCTGGGTCATTCCTATTCTTAGAATTAGTTACTAATTGTTCTTTCAAACTAGGACCACTGATTTATACCCAGAAGGGACCTCAGAAGCCATCAGTCCAGCTGCCTCATTTTACAGATGAAGAAGTGTCTATGCTGTTTAAAGACGGCTAATACCATTAAGAGTCTACATTCTGATGCTCTGGGACAAAGCTCTGATTGCCCTACCCTAGTTCTGGCTCTGTGGATAAAATGGCATCACCAATCCATCCTCTGTACAGAGCTCCCCACAGTAAGCCTGTCCCTGATCCCCTCCTGCCTCAGAGTGGGACTTGTACAGTAGGCCTGTCTGTCTGCCCTCCATTGGTGTCCGCCTGGCCATGCCCCTCCCCCAGTCTGTGGTCCCCCTCAGTGCCTACCAAGTCAGGGAGAGGCAGCAGAAGAGGCGTCGGAGTGTTGGTACACGCACCAAGTCCAAGGTGGTGTATTTGCTCTTGCCTACGGTCATCTCGTTGTGCAGTTTTACCTGGAGCACCTGGCAGAGAGGACCGGGGTAGGAGAGGGGGCTTCAGGAAGGACATCCCCTTCACAATTGCCATCACTGAGACAGGCAGACTGAGGACTGGAGGCCCCAGGACCAAGGCTGGGCCAGGAATGGATTCCAGGTGTTCTAGTCTGGCCCCTGGCCTGTGTGGGCAGAGCCTGTGGTCTGCTAGGCTCCTCGGAAGGATGGCAGATGGCGGATGGTGGATGGCGGGTGGGGGGGCAGGCCGCTCACCTCCACGCTCAGTTTTTCCCCTTCGTCCTGCTTTCCGTTGATCCAGGACACCTTCCGTAGTGCCTGGAGCGTCAGGTCCAGCCTGCCGATGGAGGAGTACCATCGTGCGGATTCAATGTAGAACCTGGAGTCAGAAAAGACCCGGATTCAAACGTGGACAGTTTGAGGGAGGCCAGTAAGGCCAGAGTCCTGCCAGCTGCTAGGCAGACTGGTCCTGGGGGGCTGTTTGGGGCCTCAAATGCCAGGCTTTCCTTAGTGGAACCGGGGCAGAGGGGGTACAGGCAGTGAATAAAACACCTGATGTGCACCACCCCAGCCCCTGGGGGTTCTCAAACCATCTCTGACTGGGAAAGAGGGGTACTGAGGGAAGAGGGCTTTGGAATTTCACAGAACACAAGCTTGGGGCAGGTACTAGTGATACAAATACAAATGTAAGAGTTCCTTCCCTCAGGGAGTTTATATTCTACTGGCTCAGTGATGAATAAATACAACTCAAAATAATACAAAGTAATTTGTTATGCTTGTGTCAGAGCGTTAACCATGGCTGGGTGGTCAGGAAAGGCCCCTTGAAGGAGATGACCTTGAGCTGAGACTTCAAGGGAACTAGGGGTTCCCAGAGGCAGAGACGAGGAGGGAGAGCCTTCCAGGCACGGGCATGGAGGTGGGAAATGAAATATTGAGTGTAAGAAACAGCAAGAATGACAATTTGTCTGCAGTATAGCCTGTGTAGGGATGGCATGGGGGATCATTGCAGCCAGCCTAGAAAATTATGTTGGAACCAAATTGGGGAGGTATGGTATGCATGGTATCCTAGGGGCCATAGGGAGCTGCTGGGGATCACCGAGCAGGAGTGGTGGGGTCAGACTCGTCCTTTAGAAACATCTATTTAGCAAAGGATGCCAAAGTCCAGGCAGGAAGTGCTAACGGACTGAGTTAGCGTGGATAGAAGGGAATAGAGAAAGAAGAGCTCAAAATGACTGGGTGCCAGGCAGAAGGGTACATACCAGGAGTAGAGGAAGAAGATAAAGAAGGGCGCGGAGGTAAGGAACTGCAGCCAACGCCAGTGGGGGACAGCATAAGCACAGCCCGCCAGGACAAACTGCCCTAAGCTGTAGGTGTAACCAATCAGAGTGCCCACTGTGGCCCGGGTGTGGATGGGCATCCACTCCACGTCTGGGGGGAAGATGGAGACAGAGCCATAGGGTTAGCCATGCTGTCCCTGAGGATTCTGCTCCATTTCTGCTCACACACCTCCAGGCCCCTGCCAAAGGCCCAGGAACATGGCTTGGCCAAAGGCTTGGTTGTCCTGGAGGCTCAGGGCACCTGGGGCCAGGTGTACGAGGCTGAGGATACCCTCTCAAACGGCCAAAATCAGGCCCGTTGAGCCGGGTGTGAGCCAGCCCCAGGTCACGTCTCTGGTGTTTGCTCTTCTCTTGCTGAAACTGAAGCTCAGAACCCTTGGCCCTCGGGTTCAAATTCGCTAGCCTGGAAAGCAGCACCCAGGCCCCCTCGCTCCTTCCCCACACCAGCTCTGGCCCAGGGCCAGCCACGGGGACCCTGCTCTTGCCTCCTCCTCCTGCTTTCTGACTCCAGCTCATCAACAGGTCACCACCCCTGGAGCCATTTCTATGAAGGACGAGTCAGCCCCTGGCTCAATAGTGACTCCACTTTTGATTTCCTCTGCCTTCCCTCTCCAAAACCTTCCTCCGTGGACACCATTCTTTATGTGTTGTCTTCCTCTATTAGACTGTAAGCTTGTTGGAGGCAGGGATTATCTTCCTTTCTTAAATTTGTACCCCAAGTGTGCAGCCCAGTGGCGGGTCCATAATTAGCGCTTAATAAAGGTTTTAGGGGCATCAAGGTGGTGTGATGCATAGAGTGCCAGGCTGGAGACAGGAAGACCTGAGTTCAAATCCAGCCTCTTACTAGCTGTGTGAGCTTGGCCAAGTCAACTCACCCACCATGTTTGCCTTAGTTTCCTCATCTGTAAAATGAGCTGGAGAAGGAAATGGCAAACCACTCCATTATCTTTGTCAGGAAAACCCCAAATAGGGTCATGAAGAGTCATACACAACCGAACAACGATAAATATTTTTTCATTCACTAATCTATTCATTCCAGCTCTGACACTTTACATACCGAGATCCCTTCGAACTCTGATATTCTCGGTTGCGCTCAGCACCTCTGACAGTCTGTGTCTGTTGTTCCAAAGCCCCGTGGACATTCTATGTTCCAGCACTATTCCACCTTCTAAGGTCTGTCCTTGACATGACATTCTCTATTCTGTATTCTAAGGTCCCTTCCAATGCTGACATTCTAGGGTCTAAGGTCCCTTCTGGGTCTCACATTCCAGGTTCTGTTTCTAAAGTCCTTTCCTGCTGAAACATTCTATGTTCTAAGGTCTGGCATGCTAGGATTCTGATCCCTTCGAAGTGGGGGGATTTGAGTTCTTCGTCGTAAGCATGAAGCAAGGCAGAAAGAGATCACTTTGGGAGGGGAAAGAGAAGAGGAAGTAGGCCGGCCCTTTGAGCAGCTCCAACCTTCAAAGAGTTCCCTGGCTGGGGTGCTGGAGCTGAGGGGGAGGAGGAGCAGGGCAGGCAGGCGCCAGAGCCAGAACCCTGGTCAGTCAGGAGAGCTGGGGATTACAGAGCCCTGGGTTAGGCTAGAGTCTTGAGGCCCCACCCCCAGCCCACTCCAAACCCCACTTCAGCCAGTGACTCCCTCAGGTGGCAAAGTCCACCTGGTCAGCCCCTTCTCCTCAGTCCCAAGGAGGCCTTAAACGGATAGAAAGTGGGGTGCTGGAGGAAAGGAGGTGGGGCAATGGATACAAATGGAACTCTGGACCTCGAGTGTGGGGACCTGGGTTCAATTCCTAGCTTTGCTCCCTTAGGGCAAGGAATTTTGGACTTCAGTTTTCCCACCTGCAAAATGACAGTCAGACTAGGAGATCTCTAGGCTTCTTTCTAACTTGAAATCTTCTTATCCTAGGGGAAAGGCGCTGGGACCCAGGCCAGGCTGAGAGGTCACCCCTCTGGGCTAGGAAGACCCTGGAAGGAGTCCCTTCGGGGAGGCTGGCCTGGGCACCGCCGGAGCGACCAATCCTGGGGTGAGGACTGTGTGACAGAAGGAGCCCTCCACCACCTCTTGTGATCTGTGTGATCCTGGGTAAGTGAGCTGACCTCTCCAAGCCTCTGCAAAATGAGGTCCCATGAAAAGAGTGCTTGGCCTTTAAAGAACCTTGGTTCAAATCCCATTCTGCTAATTCCTACCTCCATAGTAAGTCTCTTTCCTTCCTTATCAATTAAATTAGGGGACTGAACTAGATGTTACTTCTGAGGGTCCTTCTGGATCCAAATACTGTGATTTTTCCAGCTCTGAGTAGTCCCCAGCCCTAAGGAAGAAGAGACCCTGGGGCAGCCCTAACCAGTTACTCTTGAATATGAGGAAAAATCCTTTGAAGAGAGGTGGGGGGGAGGGCAGTTGTCTCTGGAGAGGGGGGAGCCCAGCCCTTGGAGCAGGGGTTCTGAGCCTTTCCGGCATCATGGGCCCCTCTGGCAGCCTACTGGAGCCAATGGACCCCTTCTCATAGAAGGAAATGTGAAATTTCAGGTAGGGGTAAATGAAAAAAGAGATGTCATTTTTTTTCTGTTCCAAGTTCACAGACCCCCTGAAATTGGTCTATAGACCCTAAGTTAAGAACTCCTGCCCTAGAAAGTCCATCCTATATCGCTGCAGCAAGGTTGCTGGTCCTCACTGCCTCAACTTTGTGAATAGGCTGTGGTGGAGAGAGAGAGACCAGAGGCATACAGCAGTGAGGGAAGGCAGGTCAGAAATGTGTCTCCATCCCATGTTTATGCCTTGGGTAAGAGTCCCAGTTGCTTCACCCTAGTTACGACTGACAGAGAGACATGGAGGATGTGAGGACTCCAATGGGGGCAGAGTCAGACTGGATTTAGAGAGATCTCGGGATCGGGGTGGGCAGGAGTGAGGGTGAGAGGTGGGCAGCACAGACCCTTGAGATATTGGGGTGGATGGGGAGCCTCAGAATTCCACTGCCTGAATCTATGCCCTCCCCAGCATCCTTCATCCACTCCCCTCCTCCTTCTAGCACCACCCTCTCCCTCTTACTCAGTGTAAGGCAGTTGAGCGTCATGCCCGACACAGCAACGCCAGTCAGAAATCGGAAGACGCAATAGGCGCTGAAATTGGGAGAGAAGGCAGTGCAAGTGCCCGTCACAGCTGTCTGCAGGTATGCCCAGATCAAGATCTTCCGGCGGCCCAGCCTGGGGAGACAAGGATGGGAGGGTGTCTCTGGTACCTAGATCTCCCCACTTCTCTGGCCTTCCCCCCAATCCTGGCCACCCTGGCATTCATTCATTCACTCACTCACTAATTCAGCAATCAATCAGTTGAGGCCTCTGACATGCTTGGTCCTGAGCTCTGCCCCAGGGTTGACAACCAACCATGGAACCTTGGCTAAGTCATTGGGTTTCCCTCATCCTCTCCTTTTCTATAAAATGCCTACCCCCGGTAAAGTGCTTATGAAAGCCTTAAAGTTCTGGAGATAAGTGAGCTATTATTAGGTCACTTCTCAGAACCTCAACTTCCTCATCTGTGAAATGAAATAATACAATAATACACAATATATCCTTGTGAAGAAAGTACTCTGTCTTGGGGCAACCACTGTCTCCTTTTTGTCTTTAGATTACGGGGAGAGCTTAACCGGGTTGGGGAAGAATCAACGAGAAAGTGTCCTCCAATTCTTCTATTCCGTTCCCTACATTCGTATCCCCAGTGCCTAGCATGGTGCTTGGCTCGTAGTAAAGGCGTAATAAATGTTTGTTGAATACGTTGAATAAATGGATTATGAAATCTCTACTCAGTGGGTTGTGGCTGTAATTCCGTTAATTCAGATTAGGTTTAGGATTCATTGGTGTAGGGCTGGGTGACCCTACCAAGTGCTTAATGTCTCTGACTTTAAGCTAGCTCCTAAAACTGTAAATCACAGATGGGCGGCCATCTTCCTCGGAGGAGGGAGTTTGTTAGAGCTGCCCTGGCTGAAGAACTCATCACCCTGTGGCCAACATGGCGCTGAGCCCTTGGATGATGGGTTGATGGCCATCACTGCACCTATCTCTAGGTTTCCACCTCCCTTGGCAAGGGAAAGGGGGTGTAGCCTTTGAGAATCAGCACTGATCAGGCATTGGAGGGGGACTTCAGTATAGCACAGCCAGCACCGATAAAGACCTGTAAGACTTGCAAAGTACTTTACAAATATTAAGTTCATTCTGTCCCCACAACAACCCTGGGAGGGGGGAGTGCTATTATTATCCCCATTTACAGATGGAGACATAGAGACAGATGGAGATTAAGTAACTTGCTCAGGATGGAAAAGCCAGTAAGTGTCCAAGGTCAGATTTGAACTTGGGTCTTCCCAACTCCAGTCTACTCATGTTAGTAAAATAATAATCGTTATCAACAGCAATAATGCCAAGTCGAGTCCAGTCTTCAGGGATTTATGGTCTGCTAGAGGACAATCAAATAAACGGATGAGAGGGCTGTGAGTTGGAGTTTTTGTGGTTGGAAGGAGAAGGGAGTAAGCCCTGGAGGCTGGAAGCATTCAGGGTAGCTGGGCCCTGAAGCGTGAGCACTCAGATCTCTTTGTCGCAGCCCTGTGGATGTTTTCCTTCCCTCCCTCTCCCTCTGGATTTCCTTGATCATCCCCCTTCTCTCTCCCTGGGTTTTTTCCAGAACGGAAACTTCCTGCCTCTGCCCTGGTTCCCTAGATGGCATCTCCCTCCCCCCACCTCGCACGTCCCAGGACTGACCTGTCTGCCAGGTTCCCAAACACATAAGCACCGACGAACACCCCACACATGTATAAGGACTGGCTCAGCTGGCGCAGGGCTCTGTGACTGCAGACGAGGTCCCACTGCAGAGTAGACAGGGTGTCGGGGTGCGGGGGAGAGCCCAGGCTCTCAGAAAGCAAGCCGTTTGCTTGATTCCCCTCCCCTGAGGAATGGCCATTGGGAGAGGAAAGCCAAGAGGAAGACGAAGAGGAAGAGCTGGAGGGGCCTCTCTGATGGAGAGGCAGAGACAGCGTCTTTCCTCTGCCCCAGCCCGTTCTGGCCCCTTCTCCTCCTCCATCCCCCATCCGCCTCTCTTTCTATCCCCACCTGCCTTTTCCATCCTGCTCCCAGTGCCCCTTTCCTCTCTCCAGCTGCATTCCACTCTCCCCCTTTCTCTTCCCCTGTCCTTTTTATTCCCATCTCCCTCACCTGCTCATTCCCTTCCACTCCCTTCCTTTCTCTCCCCATCTCCCTTTCCCGTACCTGTCCCTGTCCTTCTCCTCATCCTCATCTCTCTTCCAGTTTTTCCCCAACCCAGACTCCCCCTTTCTTACCTCTTTCCTGATCCCCATCCTTCTTCTGAATCCCTTTGCCCTACCCCATTCCTTTTCTCCAGTCATCCCTTTCTCCTTCCTTCTTCCTTATCCTCTCTCTTATCAAATTCCCTGCTTTCTGAACACTCTTGCCTAAGGAAGGCAGGAGTCTGCTGCTCTCAGAAGGACCCTCAGTCCTGTTTTCTGCCTCCTTTTAACCTTGTGTTTGGTCTTCCCAGGGATCCTGGATCCTCTTCCCTCAAGTAGGGAAACTGAGTTAGAAAGGTTTAAATTGCAGACTTCCCCTTGCGTGGGGTTTTGGCCAGATTGGGCTTGACTCCCTGTGTCCCACTCCCCCAGACCCGTTACCTCAGTCACAATGGTGGCAGAGAAGGTGCTGTGGTCATAGGTCCAGCCGTCGATGCAGGCCTCGGTGGCTCCGGTCCTGTTGGGCCCTGTATCATTGGGCCAGCGTAGCCCCCTTTGGGGGGTGGTGAAGCGCAGGCATGATTCGGGCTTGCCCTGCTCATTGTGGGGCAGCCATGCCCACAGCTCCTCAGCTTCCGAGCCGTCCCCACTCATGTTGGCAGAGGGAGGTGGGCGGCAGTGATGGCCAGGGATGGCAGCTGTGAAGTTCTGTATGGTGTTGTGGGACGCTACCAGCAGCATTGGGATGGCTATCAGGATGAACTGGGCCCACTGGAAGCGGCCCACCCCTCCCACCTGCAGGAGGATGTCATTGAAGGTCATGGAGACAGGGGGCTGAGCAGAGTGAGAGCCCAGAGCCTGAAGAGAGAGTCCAGGGGCTTCTGCCCACTGTCTGTCTGTCCTTTTGGTGGTGGAGAGGGCTGGTGGCAGCCTTTCCTGCTCTGGCTCCCCACGTGCTCTGTTCTTAGAGGAAGGCTCTGTGCTCACTCAGTGGGGGAGACAGCAGCCAGGCTGACCCAGCCCTCCCTCCTTCCTGGCTCTGGGGTGACTGGGGGCCTGACTGGGCCTGACACAGCCCCTCTTTCCTGGAACTTGGGCTCACAGATCGGCCTCCCACTTGGCTTTGGTTTGGACAGTTAGAGTTAAAATGTGACTGGAGGCAGAGAGAATGATTGCCGAGAAAACCTGCATCACGCTAATTTTTCCTTGTGGGTCAAAAGGGAACAGAAGTTGGGTGCTGGGAGCTCGAGGCCTCTCAGAGGTCTGACTTGTGCCTTCCTGTGGTTGGGGGCTGGCGCAGGGGAGGGAGAGAAAGGCAGGAGTGACCTAAATCCCTCAAAATTGGTTTGGGGCCCAGTCTCCTAGGCTTGTGCTTGGCCTGCGTTTTAGACATTGTCCTGGCCAGCTCAGAGCATCGAACCCTAGGAAGAGAGCATCTTAGAAAATCAGAGTTGGGAGGCCCTTAGAACATGGAACATCAGAGCTGGGGGGTGGGTGGGGAAGTTCCTTAGAATGTAGAATGTGAGTGTTGGGAGGGCACTTAGAACATGGAATGTCAGCTGGGGGGGGTCAGGGACCTTAAAATACAGAAAGTCTGAGCTGGGAGGCATCTTAGGACACAGAACAGAAAGATCCAGGTTTGGGAGAGAACCTAGAACAAAGAATTGTAGAGATGGGTAGGACCGTAGAACAGAGACTGTCAGAGCTGGGAGGGACGTTAGAAGATACAATATATAAGGTCAGGAAGGGACCTTAGAACAGAGACTGTCAGAGCTGGGAGGGACGTTAGAGACTTTTGGAGAAGGATAACGAGATTTGCCCAAGGCCCCACAAGGAGTTAGTGACAGGATTCCTTAAGACCAGGCACCTCACTCCCAGTCCCGTTTTCTCTCCACTGAAGATTCCATCACCTCTAAACCTTGAATTCCTGCTGACACCAGACCAGGCCACTTGACCAGCATCCTTAGCCCTGCCCACTTTGGCTCTTGAGAGTATCTCTGTGGGTGTCCCAGTCCCTGACCTCTTGGCGATGCTCTGAGCTGTGGCCTGGCTCTAGCCTCCCGTCAAAGGGCTCTCTGGGCCCTTGACTGAATGCCAGGCCTCTGACCCACTTCTCATTCTGGCCCTCAGCTGTGGCTTGTGCCCTGAGCCCAGCCTGCCTCTCGAATTCTGACTGAGATCCCTGCTACTTACTTACCTGATCCCTTAAGACCTGTGTATTAAACTGTGTTTTGTCTAGTTCCCCGACCACTCTGCCCTCTTTCAGTCTTGCAGGATAGTGAGTTTAAAAGTAGCCAGTAGAATGGGCCAAGAGCTGGAAGAAGATTGCAAAGGGGAAGTCACACGCACACCATGCCAAAGATCTGAGGACAATAATTGACACCTTGCATCATATATTAACTAAAAATCGCATCCTGGCCATCCATCTAGGCCTCTCTGTCAGGGCCTTTTGGCCCCATCGTATGTATATCTTAGACAAGTTTCGGACCTTGACAGAAGAACATCGGATAACTAAATAGTGGTGACAATTAGGAGATGCGGTATGTTGACTTTCACGTTGTACTGAAAACTTTGTGATGATTCGGATATGTTAATGAACTAACCCCAAAGCGGCACGGATAAGAATCAGTCTGTTCCCACCAAACCCTATAAAGCGAGACCCAAGCTCCTGCCCACGCCCAGCCCTCCTCCGTCTCCATCGGGTCTGTGCTGCTCGGTGCTCCCGACTTTAATCCATGGTGATGTGAGGGATGCTCTGGGCCTCTCATAGCTGTAGTCACAGCCCTGCACCCAGGCCACAGGGTCATCTTCTCACCAGACTGAAGCAGCAGTGGGATTTAGCAGCCCCCTGAATGTCTGAGTCTTTTGTAAGGACCACACTGCTCACCTCCTTGAATGAGGAAGGGGCTAAAAATGTGCCCTAAAAATTGTCTGCTTCAGCAAACCTAGCCCAGGCTTGCTTGCTATGACAGGTGGGGATCTTACCCTGCAGTCCAAACACAAAAAAATGTGCAAAAACTGTTGCAAAGATGATTCCACTCACCATCAGTACATGGAATGTGTGCACCCTTATGGACCATACGAAACCCGGCAGATCTGAAAGGTGAATAGGTCTTGTTGTGAGTGAGCTCAGTAGGTATCCCATCCAAAGAGCAGCCCTGAGTGAAACAAGGCTGGCAAAGGAAGGCCAGCTGAACGAAGCCAGAGCCAGATACATGTGTTTCTAAAATGGCTGCAGTGATAGGGAGCGCCATGAAGCTGGTGTAGGCTTTTCAGTCAAAACTCATCTAGTCAAAAACTCGTATGCTTCCCTGAAGGACTGAACAATGCGGTTGTCACTTACAGGAAAGTGCAACGCCACCATCATCAGTGTATGCTCCTACCATGATGAACCCTGGCCAAAGAAATCTTTTTTTTTTGGCCAGGCAGTCAGGGTTAAGCGACCTGCCCAGGGTCACACAGCTAATAAATGTCAAGTGTCTGAGGCCGGATTTGAACTTAAGTCCTCCTGACTCTAGCTGCCCCTCAAGGCTTGGAGACCCTCATCATCTACATTCTAAAAGAGGACAAGTTTGTAATTCTGGGTCACTTCAATGCCAGAGTAAGTTCATGCTACCAGACACAACATGGAGTCCTTGGGAGGAATGAATCAGAAACAGCAACAGCAGTGGTCACTTACTACTGAAGACTTGTGTGCCTCATGACCTTCTCATCACCAAGACTGTTTTCCGTTTACCCACATGCAATAAAACTTTGTGAGGGCACCCTCACAGCAAACATTGGCGTTGAATAGATTATGGTATTGTAAGGAGAAGAGAGAGACAGGATAGGAGAGTAATCAAGGTGATACGTGGTGCAGAGTACTGGACCAATCATAGACTTATCTTCTTCAAGTTAAACATTCACATCCGACAAAAGTGGAGGCCCAAAGCAAGACAACTACCAAAAACGTAATGTCAACAGATGAGAGCATTTCTCAGAGAGCAAAGTGTTTGTTGGTAATTTGGAGAGGAAGCTGAGTCAACACATGGTTGGCAACAGTAGAGGAGAAAAAGAGAGGGCAGCTTTCAGAGATTTGGTGTACAGAACCACCTTTACTCATCTGGGTCAGAACACTTGCAAATATCAAGAGTGGTTTGATGAAAATGATGGGGAAATTCAGAAGCTGCTAAATAAAAATGAGAACTCCACAGGTTTTTACCGTCAGGAGAGTTCATCCATCTCTGAGAAGGCAGCATTTAACACCATCAAAAGTAAAGTGTAAGCAAAGCTTAGGTATATATGCAGGATTCTTGGCTCAGTAAGAAGGCAAATGAAATTCAGTTTTATATTTATAGTAGTATATATAGTAATATATACTGATGTAACTGATAGTAAAAGCACTGATAAGTGCACTTATCAGTGCTTTTATGATGCCCTGAAGGCTATTTATGGGCCAAAGACCTATGGTGCATCTCACCTACTCAGCTCTGATGGAGCTGCATTGATTAGTGATAAGGACATGATCCTGGAGAGATGGGCTGAACACTTCCATAGTCTTCTCAACAGACCATCATCAATCCATGCTGAAGCCATTGACCATTTACCTCAGGTTGAAGTTAATCCCTTTCTAGCTAAACTTCCAATTTAAGAAGAGGTTTTTTTTTAAATGATTTAATACTTTATTACCCCCATTACATGTAAAAACAAATTTTAACATTCTTTTAAAAAATTTGAGTTCTAAATTCTTTCTCTTCCTTTCCCCCTTCCCCCATTGAGAAGGCAAGCAATCTGATATGTTATACATATGTAGTCATGCAAAACATATTTCCACATTAGTCGTGTTGTGGAAGAAAACACAGATTAAAAAACCAGGAAAAGTAAAGAAAGTAAAGAAAAAGTATGCTTAGATCTGCATTCAGACTTCATCAGTTCTTTCTCTGGAGGTGGATCACATTTTTCATCATAAGTCCTTTGGAATTGTCTTGGATCATTGCATTGCTGAGAAGAGCTAAGTCATTCACTAAGTCATAAGTTAATCATCATAAAATATTGCTGTTACTGCATACAATGTTCTGTCGGTTCTGCTCATTTCACTTTGCTCTACTTCAAGTGAGTCTTTCCAGGTTTTTCTGAGAGCACCCTGCTCGTCATTTCTTGTAACACAATAGTATTCCATCACAATCATATGGAAAAACTTGTTCAGCCATTCCTCAATTGATGCACATCCTCTCAATTTCCAATTCTTTGCTACCATTAAAAGAGCTGCTATAAATATATTTGTACATTTAGGTCCTTTTTTTTTTTATCTCTTTGGGATACAGGCCTAGTAACAATATTGCTTGGTCAAAGGGTATTCATGGTTTTATAGCCCTTTGGGTATAGTTCCAAATTGCTTTACAGAACAGTTGAATCAATATACAACTTCACGAACAGTGCATTAGTGTCTCGATTTTCCCACATCCACTCCAACATTTGTCATTTTCCTTTTTTGTCATATTAGCCACTTTGATAGGTGTGAGGTGGGAGCTAAGAGCTGTTTTAATTTGCTTTGCTTTAATCAATAGTGATTTAGAGCATTTTCCATACAATTATAGGTAACTTTGATTGCTTTATCTGAAAAATGCCTGTTCATGTCCTTTAACCATGGGGAACGGCTCTTATTTTTATAAATTTGATTCAGTTCTCCGTATATTTGAGACAGGGTTATCAGAGAAAGCTGCTGTAAATTTTTTTCAGTTATGATTACTAACTGTGTATTTCCTTCCATCCTACTTTCTCCCTATTTATCCTATTCTGTCTCTCCTTTCATCCTGTCTGTCCTCAAATGTGTTTTGCTTCTGTCTTTTACCTACCCCAACCCACCCTCTTTTCTATCACCCCCTCCCTGCCTCTAGCCTTGAAGAAGAGGTTTTGAACGTCACTAGGCTTCTCTTATGTGGCAAAGTGCCTTGCGCTGATTCTATTACAACTGAGGAATAGAAGAACGTCCGCTGCTCATGCAAAAACTAACTGACATCTTCTGAGTTGTATGGTAAGAAGGGGTTATCCCCAGAAGTTTATCCATTGTCCATCTCCATAAAGGAAAAGGCAATTCATT